CTGGGCCGCCGGCTCCTGTCAGCAAGCTTACCCAAAGCGTATCTGGCTTTATCATGAGAAAAGACCGGGTTACATCCTGGAGGGAAATGCCACAAAGGACAGCTGTTTCGTAGAGGATGCGGGGAAATGCAAAGGGACACGAAAAGTAAAAAATAATAAACCCAAAATGTTCTAATTGCTTGGGCTGGAGTCGGGCTGCCTGGTGCTGTGTGGGGAGCCGAGAGCGGAGTGCTGCAGCACCCACAGGCAGTGGTGGCCTCCAGGAACCAGAGAGCAGCCGCCAGTTACAATTTTATTCATCTTCACATTTAGATATTACAACAAAACTCTTAATGACAAAGGATAACAAGTACTATAGGAGAGGAAAGAAAGCAGTGTTCTAATTGGTTTGATATATAACCGTGAACTTCCAGAGACGAGACTCAACGTGAGTTATAAACACTCACATACACTGACTGGTAGGAAAACTTCTCACGTGCAAACACACACTCACCCACAAAACACTCACTCACACACACAGACCACGCTTTTGTACTCGCACATAACCCATGTTGTAACCTACTTGCTTCGAAGGCAGCCCACTGAAACACTGAATGCTGCTGTAGCAACAACAGGTACCAGGTTAAAATATTGCAATATAAATGAAGTATTACTTGATACACAGGTTTTTCTTCAGAGACATGTATTTCCAATGTTTTGTTTTCATGAGGGAGGAATGTCTTCTCAACACCAACACTTTGTAAGGAAAAATGAGACTGCACATAGAGTGGGAACAGTCATTTTAAAGGAGGATGATGATAAATTGCTTAGCTTCAATGTTGAGTTCCAGTAAAAAGCCCAAACAAAACAAAACAGAGAGTGCATTGTGAACGGAGCAGGGACAATTATCAAACCCTGGGTTTTAAAAGTTTAAATACTCCCTTGTCACTGTAGGAAAACAGACAACGCTGTTGTCTCACATCTTAAAACCAAAACTGACCAGCTTCATTTCATGCTCACACTTATCTGGGGACTGTAAAAAAAATGCCAGAAATAATGCAAAGAGTGTGGGGAAGGGTATCAGGTTTGTACACTCTAATTTTAGTATACTTTTAAGAGAGCGGAACTCGAATTGTCTCAACAGCTTTTCAATATCGCACACTCCAATCGTTTTTCATCAGCAGGAGTGTCTGAAGAAGAGCCAGCGTTTGCTCGTATCATGGCTGCATTGTTCATGCTATGCTGTTGACACAGATTACAATAGGATCTGATTCCATGCCCCCCCCCCCCCCCCCATCAAGATGGTGCAAAAGAGAGAAAATAAACTTCTGTGGAGTCAAATCATTTGAATGTTCAAAAATCAGATGTCACACCAGTGCTTTACACAGAGTGAAGCAGGGGATCATTAACAATGGCTCTAATGAAGTAACCCTTCTCCACAAGGATGCTTGTGAGCAATTTACAGCTGAACCTAGAGACAAAGTGCAGCTGTCCTGGCTGGTTGGGAGTGCTGACAGCCAGCCAGGGTGCTCAGATGCCTCTGTCTCCTTTCTGCTGAGGAATTCTGACAGTGCCCTTGCAAGTGTTGGGCTTTGCTAGCGCATTTCTATCCCTCACGTATGGACAAGGACTTGCAGCTACTTTGGAATTCTGTTTTTCAACTATTATTTTATTTATAGGCCTCTTTCTTGGCCCCTCTGTCAGATGGGGCTGTATTTCCAGGCAGAGAACTGTTTGTGAAGCACTGGAAACAAGAGAACCTGGGTCCTATGGATGCACATCACCCACCGAGCAGCCTGAATTTAGCTCAGCTGTCTGTCACCTCCCACCCATGCGAATGCCAGTGGAGACCCCCAGCAGCATGGGGCACATGCAGCCTTCCTTCTGTCAAGGGAACCACCAGTTCAAAAACCAGGGCAAGATGAGGGCAGGAGAATTTGGTCTGGCCTGCACCCCGTTGGCTGTCCTACTTCCTTGGCCTGGCTCTCCAGCATCTCCTGCCAGAGGGTTCTTACTGAGTCATAACAATTACTTAAAGATGTTTAAATTCCTGGCAACTTCAGGGGACACCAGTAGAAGTCAGGGAATTCATTGTCACATGCAGTTTCCATTTCCACATCCTGAGCCAGTTTGGCTCCAGCTGATCTGGTTTTGTGCCTTTTTTTTGCCATGGAAATCACAGCCATGTCATCCTACTGACCCAAAAAGGAAGGGGAACATGGAGCGCTCTGCACAGGCTTAGAGAATCTGAATGACAGGCATGCTTTTCCCATGTGCTAAATAAATCTCCCCATTACACTTGTGCGGAGAACTATAATTAAGACTTGGGAAAGTCATCCGTAAGGACTCACAAGCTCATGTCAGGAAGTGCATAAAACCCTCTGCTCTAAAAGAAATACAGTATGTCTGACAGGAAGCCCAAACCAAACACTTGGCTCTGTGCACAGAGGTGGGGCCCCTAAGCAGAAACTCCCTGGTGCTGAGATGCCCTGGTGCAAGGAGCTCTGCCAGCCATGGGCATGTGGGAGAAGAGATGACGACAAGCTGTTCGGACGAGCCTCTTCACCCAGACTGCTCTGGCAGTGATGTAACCATACTCGGCGACTGAGCTCTTGGATCTTGAGCAGGATGGAAAGAAGTAGGTGAGTGGGAAGTGGTGAGGCAGCAGCACAGAAATCTGTAGAGAGGGGCTGCAGAGGTTCCCCAGAGCTCTGAATTCACGTGGTATCTTTTAGAAACAAAAGGCCCAAGTGACGAGATGTTTCCTCAGCACATAAATGTTCCTCAGTCCTCCAGAGACAGGTACACTGTGCTGGCAGCTCTGCAACAGAAACTGGCAAGGAGCCTGTTGGGCAGAGGGTGTCTCCTTAGAGCCAGGGAACTAGGGCGACAGGAAAGCTCATGGTGCAGAACCGTCCATCCAGGAGAACTGGGGCTTGAGCCCTGGCCAGGTGCTGCCCTCCATGTGTTCAGTGATGCCAACACACAACAGGATGCAACCCAGGGCACCTCATTGCTGGAGCTCTGTTCCTTCCATTGTTTCCAAAACCCTTGCAGCAACTTGAAAATAAACATTTCACTCCCTACCTTTTCCTCCCAGCAAACAACCCATTTTCACTCTATGTTTAGAAGCCAGCTGAAATTAACACGGCTTTGCTTTAATTTCTCATTCGAGCAACAAATGATCTCAGCACTGCTCTGGGAGAGGGGGAAGGCAAGAGCAGCAGACCTGTGAGTAACCTGCTCCCAGCACGGATCATATAAAACCCTGTTTTGCACAGGACGTGCAAAAAGAGTTGCTATTTATCTCACTGGGAGGACTCTAGCCATCAGCTGATGACCTACTCAGCACTAGCTGTGTTGAGATGGCTAAAATAATCCTGGTGATAAGGCAGATTGACAGGTTTCCCCCCAGCAGAGATGAGAGGGGTGTGGGTGTTGCTTGCAGAGGAGATGGAGAGGCTGGCACCCACCTGGAATGAGCAGTGTGCATGAACATTTACAAAGATCCCTCGGGATCTCTACGTACACCTCTCTGAAATGTCCTGCTCTTGCTGCTAATACCACTAGGGATTTCTTCCCTTTGATTCTGCTCCACAGCTCAGCAGATGACATCATGAGGAGAGGAGGAGGAAGCAATCCAAGGAAAAACATTCAGGCTGCACACCAGGAAGAAACTTGAGACTAAGACAGATCTATTTATATCTGACCTGAAATGGGCTTTCTGAATGGGAAGCTGATCTGAGTGGAGGCTGGATGCTAGGCAGAAGGTGCTGTAGTGCTGAACACAGGCACCCACTTGCTGGCAGAATGCATCTGTCTGAGCCGCAGGAAGAAAAGAAATGTGAGGAATCAGTGAGGCGCTCTCTCCAGACCCGGCACAGGGAAGCTGCAGCTGGAGGTGTTGCATGGGCCATCGTGCTGCGGTTCCGAGGACATCGGTGTTCCCCATCCGTTCGGGGTAGGTTCCCTGCTGGGGCTGGGCATAGGTTGAAGGAGAAGCTCTGAGTGACCCTGATGACGTGCCCGGAGGGTGAGAAGGGATGCCTTGGCAAGCACCTCCAGGGCCTGATGCCATTAGTACTGCTCGGAGAAGAAGGAAGCGTGGAGAGTGGGGGGGCTGGCCCCCTCTCCAGGCGGGGTGCAGCTGCCGTCCTCAGAGTGTTCTGACAGCTCCCCGTATTCACTGTTGTAAAAAGTCTGGCCTCCGACTTGGGACCCGTATGACGGCCGACATCTGCCCCGCAGGTCCGACTGTTCCCCTGGCAGCTCCGCAGTTCGGCTGGGCCCTTTACTGCTGCGAGGAAGAGAGATACAGATCAATCTGAGCACTCCTGCAAAGCCTCTGTCCTGCTTAGAGAGATCCCAGCTTCAGGAAACATCATCTGCTAATGAACAGGGCAGAGGTAGGGTCAGGAGTGGACCTACACCTCCATTTCAAAGCACAAGACCAGGCTTTGCTCTAAATCTAAGCACAGCCTGTCTGTTTTATGAAAAGTCTGCACACAACCCAACGACAAAGTTATTTCAGCTCTTCTAGATACCTTTGGGAAACCCAGGGAAGGGTTGGGACCCCAATGAGCAGTGAGAGACAAGAGACATTGCTTCAGTTGCTCCTAGACCTGGCAGGAGTAACAGAAACTGATACAAACCAACAGCCAGGATGGGGGAAAGGAAACAAAGGAAGATGATGAAGAAGATGTGGGAGGAAATCTCAGCACCTGCCAATACCAGGTGACTGGCAAGAAGTCACAAGAGCGAGGGGAGGGACACGTTCAAGGAGAGGTTTAAGGGCAGTGTTTTCCTGGAGATGGGACACCAGGTAGCCCATGGTGTAGGAGACAATGGGAACATACCTTAGGGAAAAGAGGACAAGGACAAGAAGCAGGAGACAGTCTGATACAACAGCAGAGAGGCCACAGGGCTACGGCTAAGGGAAAAGACAATGACCAGTCTGATCTGATGTTGGGAGGCAGAGGAGGTAGGAAGAGACTTGGGACTGGCCTTGTCTACACATGAGCTGACATGGCTTGCTCAACACACTGTCACGGAGACAAGGTTCCAAGCAGAGATGAGCTGGACAGGTTCTTGCCCAGTTTCCAAGCCTGGGACAAGGACATAACCATCCATAACATCCTCAGCCCCAAGAGTGCCAGCTCAACCTGCCAGGCTCAGTACCGGCATGTGGGAAGTCCTAAGGCCTGTACCATCCCTGCAATGCCACATCGATGCCCTGTACCACATGGGTCAGGGCTGGGGGAGGGAGGTGGCAGCTGAATAGTTTCCATCCATCCCACCTGCCACTGCTTGAACAAGCCCTGACACATTTCACCAGAAAATGTCAGTAAGCATTAAGAGTGCTATTAACACCGTTGCTCCACTGGGCCTCATTATCTTAACGCACACATTTTCATACCCTGTGGAACATGTTTTGATCAGTTGAATGGGCACAGTTTATATTTTTAAACCCTAGGAAGCAGCAGCCAGGTCTGTTCTTTGTGCGTTTTGCCTCTTGTTAATGTGTGCATGGACTTATCTGGCTCAAGGCTCACAGCCCTGCTGCTGCTGAGAGCCCCAAGAGGCATACCCTGTGGGGAGACACCGAGAGCTGCCTCCTGGTCTCACTGCATTTGGCAGCAGGGAGGTCTGAGTGGCTAGACTTAAGGAGTACCTGAATCCACCTTCTTTTCTGTGTCGGTTTTCTATCCTCTCAAATTCCTCAGATGCCAGAACCATCCCACTGTCTGTTTGATTGTCCTGGAAAGAAGCAACAGGAGTTATCAGTAACATCCCTGTCGGCTGATCAGAGTGGGAAGGGAGGAGGAATCATTCAGGAGATGAGATCATGTGTATCTGTGATGGGAAAAAAGGAGTAGGGGCACTTTACCAGCATGCTCCATGGTCTTGCTGGAACCGATTTTCTCAGGTGCCTTCTTAAAAGCAGTAAGTACAAAGGCAGGATTTGTGTGTGCAGTTCACGGCCACTTTTGGGGAAAAAAAAAGGTGCTCCCTGCCTGGAAGATGTATTACCATCAAATCTGTGAGAGGTGAAATTTTCCTCTGAGACTACAGGGATGACTTAAGTTTTGCCCCTACAGAAGATATAAGTACCAGCCCAGTTTAAAGAGGCCAGGAGACCTCACACTGTACACCGCCGTGTGGGTCAAGATAGAGGAGGTGCAGACAAGCGCTCTGGATTTACCTAGTCCTGGCTGGATTTCAGTATGCTTAATCAGGCCATGTTTACAGATTTGAGAAGAGTGAAGAGCAGGCTCTTTTCTGAGGTCCTTTACAGTCCTTGCTTCTAGATCTAACCTCCCTATTTCACAGTCAGGCAGTACAAGCTGTGCTGTAGAGAAACCCCTATGTGCCAGGTGGAGAAATGAATGTGCATAGGACTGGACGGACTGAACAGGAATGACACAGACAGACTGACATTAGATAGGAGTGATCTTCCTTCCACAGTCTTAACAGCAAAAGCGTCAGGAAACAGCTGAACATTTCTTTGCCCCCTGTTCAACCCCACTCAGGTGCTACTCACCGGGTGTGCCTTGTACATTGTATGTGTCATGGGAAACTCTTCAAATGTCTTTATCCGGGATGGACACCTGATCTGATTTCCTCCCGTCAAACAACCAGGGAACGAGACGCAGTTGTAGTATCTGCCGACAGAAGCATACTGTATTCAGTAAAACCAACAGAGTCAATGTCCTGAATAAACAGGACCTGAACCCAGCCTCCTCTCTGTGCAACCAAAGTATGAAGGGAGGCGGATGACCCAAATGGTGGATTTTGGGAGGGGAATAGGGTTTCCTTAGGCCTCTTAACCCCATACTACTTCTACAGTGGGGAGCACCCACACTTCCTGATCGAATCAGATCCTGATTACCTCTCCACTCTGGATAAGCAGAGTAATGTCATACAGATCCCAGGCATCACACAATCACAGCTCCTCAGAAATGAGAAGCCTAGGCCTAATTGTTTGAGCTAGGAACAGATAGGATGAAGCTCCTGCAGTAGCAGAAGGGCAGCTGACACCTTCTTTCCTCATCTGCCTGATGGGCCATGATGCCTTTAGTGGGACGTGATGCTCTGGCAGTGTAGCTGGAGGCATGAGAAGGAATGCCATAGGCTTACACATCAAGGGCTCTTTCTCATCAGCAAAGAAAAGTGATTTTGCTTTTATAAGCAAGATGCTATGGCCTAAATGCATCACACCTGATCACCTGGGATTTTTCCAACCTCGTGTTACTGGGTTAACCCCATATCCCTCAGGCTCCCTTACAGCTCAGGCTGCTGGCTGCCTGCTGCTCTCTCTCTGCCCTTTTCAGAGGGGATTCACCTTGCTGCTAGGCTGTGGCAGCGTATCCTCATGTCAAAGTCCTCTTCATCTGAGTTTTGCTGGGCAGAGGAAGGCACCTGGGAGAAACCATCATCTTCTGAGCTGTGAGAGTCATTCAGCGGGATGTAATCCTTTCCTTCCTGGTAGGAAGAACAGTGAGTGGCCGTACAAGAAGGGGAGGGCTTTCCCACAAGAAAGGGCTCTACAAGCAGAAGCTGTCAGAGCTGAGGAGGAAAATTTCTGGTTTGTTTTTTATTTCTTAGGGACAAAATATCTGGCTGGAGGTTTCTCTAGCCTACATGGGCAGAGCACTGTGCTCTGAGGGCACATCACTGCAGCTTAGTCATGCCTGTGCTGGGATCCAGTGCTGAAAGGTTAAAATCACAGACGTCAAGATGAGACAGTACTCATATTTAAGCATTTAGCTTGGTCTTATGAAATGGAACATTAAGAAAATGTTAAAATCTGAGCTGCGCGCTCATTGCAGTTAAAAGTCCTGGTGAGTTATTGCATGGCAGTGATTAGTAATAGTTTTAGAGAAATTTGTACATCTGACTGCTGTAACGGCACAGTTGTTTGGTTCACATGGCCCTGACATTTAGATCTGACGATAGTTTCAGAAACCCTGGTGAAATCCTGGTTTTCATTATGTGGGCGTGTGTGAGGCAGGAGTGCCAGGGTCTTGACTCAGCTGAAAAATTTCAAATAATCATCTGGGGATTAGGATGGAAATACTGGAATGACGACTGAGAGGGCACACACCCTGCAAGGAATGGAGCTGTATTAGGATGCAGCAAGAGGGCTTCCACAGAAATGAGCTCTCCAGTAGCTCTGGGAAACAGACCTCTCTGATCCAGAAAACCCTGTGTTATCCCTTGGCCTACGCAAAGGTATTGCGTTGGCCAGGGCGTCAGAGGAGGCCACAGCAAGGGAGCTAGTGGTGGGAAAAGAAAGAGGAGCAGTCTGGAGCTGAGCAGGGACACAGAGAGGTTTTCACCTGCTGGACGTTTTCCTGAAGAAGGTTCCCCAGTATCTCCACCAGGTCGGAGAAAGTTGGTCTCTCCTTGGGATCACCGTGCCAGCAGCTCAGCATTATACGGTAACTGCCAAGAAGAAATGCTGGTTTTATGCCACAGAAACTCCTTCCTACCCCACTCTGCAGCTCCCACCCACCTGGTACCTGCTGGGACAGCATGTACCTGCACTGTGAAGGAAAGCTCAGCATCCCCCAGCACACTGGCCATGTGGACCTACTGGGAGGGGGTTAGTTCATTATGTACTGAATATAACAGTGCACAAGGAGCTAATTCGGACATCTCTGATACCCTTCAGAGCAGGAAAGCACATTGTGCACTTACAGACCCATCCCAGTGTGGGTATGCAAGGGCACCTAGATAGCTCTGATTTGAACCCATCTGGCTTGCTCTCCAGGCAGCTGCCCTGAGTGAAGGATGTGTTGGATCAGCCCGCACCCTGACTGAAAGGTCTTTGCATCTCACTGAGCAGCCTGTCCTGCCCTATGCTGTGATCTGGGAGGTTTCTACCATCTCACAGAGGGCTGTGCTCTGACCAGTGCTGGGATCTCTAGGGTTTCTGACTCACATTTCTGCTGTGGCGTACTCTGGGGCTCTCATCCTGGTACCATCTTTGAGCCTCTGGCAGAACTCCTCATTGATCTGGACTCCAGGGTACGGAGATGCCCCTAAAGGAGGTTCAAAGAGTGAAATGTGCCATCAGAAACCAGTCCTTCTGAGACTGCCCTTCCTCCCAAAACACTGGGAGATGCGGTCACTTCTAATACACAGCCCACATCCTTGGTGCTGCCTGAGACAGACTCCTCTGCTTCAGTGAGTGAGAGACTACATCTGCGTGTCTGTCTCCCCATCACTCTGTTCGTGGGTGGATATGGCCTCCATATTTTTTTGCCTACATTGACATCTCTTCCCATCACTCCATAGATGTGCTTCAGAGAGTCAGGGCCTCCTGCACAGACTCACCCACCAAAGTGCTATGTGGGAAGAGAGGTCTCCCTCAGCAGCATGTGACCCTCATTAGCACTCACCTAGCGAGAAGATTTCCCAGAGGAGGACCCCAAAGGACCAGACATCACTCTGGGTAGTGTAGACCTTGTCAAAGATGCTCTCTGGAGCCATCCACTTCAGTGGGAGACGGGCCTGCAGGATGGAGAGGCAAGGCACGAGTGTTCAGTCAGGGACATGTCCCAGGACAGCCCTTCTTGTAGCAAAGGGATGAAAGGGATGAAAGGAAACCAGAGCCAATAGCTCTGCTCCTTTCTTCATGGAAGAATGGAGGTTTGGTTAGGCCAGAGGGAGGGATGGAGACACTGAAAGGGGGCAGAAAGGGTATAAAGAAAGAAGAGTAAGTTAATGACAGGCTGAGGAGCAGGAGAAAGGAGACAAAGGTCTGCTGGTGGAGGATGGCACATACATCACCGGGCCTATGGTTTCTGGTCCCAGCCACACAAATGGTTCTACTCCTCCTTTTTTATCTTTTCCTCAGTTTATTCCATCCCCAGAGTAGTTTATGAACACCTCAAGGGGGCCTAATATGTATAGGGTTTGAGAAGATGGCACTCACACTGCCTTTCCTGACATAGTCGGGGTCCTTGTAGATGTCCCGGGCCAGGCCGAAGTCACAGATCTTTACCACGTTGTTCTCTGACAGCAGGATATTGCGAGCTGCCAGGTCTCTGTGGATGCACTGAGGGCACACGAAGAGAAAGGGGCAAAATCAGAGGGACAGGAACCACCATCAGAAAGTGCAGAGCACCCCCCCTCCCCTTGCAAACCTGAGCTGTAATGGGGGAATGGTGGAAGTGGGAAGGAGCTAAAGATAAATATTTCAAAAGGAGATGGTTAAGGAGAGGATGAAATGCAAATGAGGACTAATTTCCCATCTTTGTGTACACAGGGCTACCTCAGGCTTCCTAAAAGTGTGAGGCAGATCACTGAATCTCTCTGTGTGGCACCTGTAAAGTGGCTGTAGGCAGGCCTTCTCTGGTCAGGCATGCACAAAAGAAGAGGGGAGTGAAGGAAAAGGTGAACTCACCTTTCGGGATGCCAGGAACTCCATGCCACGTGCTACCTGGAAGCTGTAGCAGATCAGGTCTTCCATTGTCAAGGGACTTTGCCACAAGTCATCCGCTTTCGAGGAGTATAAGAAAATTGATTAGACAGTGGACTGTGGGATACAACCGGCCTCTTGGTGAGATACAGCTAGTCCTCAGTGCTAACTGGAGTAAGCAGCTCCCCTCTAGGATTTTCTGCTTAGGTGGCAGAAAGCACATGGAAGGAACCTGCTCAAGTGTCGTGAGAATGAGTTCAGCCTCCAGCACTCTGTCAGTCAGAGTTGTGGGGAATGGGGCTGGAAGCGACTTTGAAGGTTAGGTCATCATTCTTGTCCTACGGAGGACCCACTGAGATCCCCCTCAATTCTTTAGGCTTAAAAAATCCAAAGGGATTTAATCCTCCCTTCTGGGTTTCAAGAGTCTATTACAAGAGACAACAGATGACCGTAATAGCCCTGTTCAGGGAATTGCCATACAACAGTGGAGTGATCAGCTCCAAGGCTGGGTATCAGCTCCCCACTGTCATGCCTTACCCGTTCCTCAAGCTAGCCAAGGCTGGCATTTTTTTGGTGGGCCAGGTGAGGAACCGCTGCCAACACTGGAATATTACCTTCCTGGATTGGCTGCGCTGTCTGGCTCTTGTGCATCAGAAAGCGGTTGAAGATAGCGCTGTCGCTAGTCCCAGAACGACTCCTCCTGTCTGCTCTCACTGCCTCCACGATGGACTGGACCTGAATACGCAGCCTGGGAGACTTCTCCTGGCAAGGAGACCAAACCAAAAACCTCAGCAGGCAACACACACTGTAACCCCTGCACCCACGAGCTGCACAGTCTTTTCCTGTTCTTAGACTGTAATTCTGGCCTGGAAACACCTATCTTCAATTGCAGACAGAAATGACTTCCTTGATGTGCACATTGAACCAAGATCACTGTGTAAAGTTGATCTGCTGCTAGACAGAGGGTTCCTTTGTCCCAGATCATGTTTCAGGCTACACGTCTTCCTTCCCTAGACATGGGATGGGTCCCTAGGGGCAAAGGAAGCTACTTACCCTGTAAGGACTGAATCCTTCCCGCTTGGTCCGCAGGTAGTTGGAGAGGTTTCCATACTTGCAGAACTCAACAATAACCATGAGTGGACCTGGCAAGAAGACACCAAAGGTCAGGGGAAGAGGTAAGGGTTTGGGATGGTCAGAATTTTCTCCGACTCATGTGCAGCCCTGCTGAGCTGTGGCACCCGCCCTAAGTGCACACAGACACACCAATAACACCCCCACACATCCCTGCGCTCACACACGTGGCCAGCAGAAAGGACACAGGGGACAAGCACTGATCTCTGGGAACAGGAACAGCCTGTTGCCCTGGGATATTTACCATTGGGTTTGGTACAGGCACCCAGCAAATTCACCACGTTGAGGTGATTCCCGATGTGAATCAGGATCTTCAGCTCTGACATCAGTGCCTTGTGCTCACTTGCGGTAGCTCCCTCTGGAAACACACAGACTATGTCATGATGCCTCTTCACAGCTTTTCACTCCCCCTCACCACCCTTCTCTTAGCAAAGTGCTAATGTGAGTCTTGCTGAGGAGGCTGTGACCCCAAAACCTTGGTACATTTTGTTATTCCACGTTTCCATGTGAAATGTCAGAGACTTGTCTGGAGATCCCATGATCCCTGCTGTAAAGCGTAGGGTGCTCCCTGCAGGTGCAGGGACCCAGAGCAAAAGACAACATAACCCGTGCCCAACAGATTTTTCCTTGTGATAGTTGTGCAGGAAAAAAGATCACTTGAGGCTTACATACAGACACACACGTTTGAATCTCTGCCCTTTTGGCCTCCAAACAGAGATAACGAGCCGTAAAACAATTTGAAGGAAAATTAGAAACAAAAGGCATCTGAGTCTTTTGATCACGACTGAAGATAGGAGCTGTCTCAGCTCAACCCCAGAGTATCTTTTTAGGATTCCTCTCCAATAGCACACACAGTGTTGTGCCCCTGCCAGCTCTCTGTACTGCATCTGCTCTCCAAGTGCCTAATTCACATCAACTCTTGATCCTCTGTTTTACCCTCAGGGTGCGTTCTCTGGTTTTATGTGCCTTTTTCATACTTCTCAGCTTCCCTATATGCATTTTGCCTTATTTGAGAGTTTGTAAATTTAGTATGAGAGAGAGAAACATCCTCTTGAGCTGCAGCTGATGGGCCAGGTGAGAGCCATGCCTCAAAGGACTGTAAAGCAACCTTGCACAACCAGGCTTCTGTCTGCGATTGCTGTGCAGAACATCTGTACACTTGCAGTGGTAAGCCCTGCTGAGATGAGCGATGACTTGGTTTCCGCATACAGGCCACTGCTGGCCAGAGACTGCCTCAGTATTTTGTTGGGTGCCAAATTACAGAATAATGTTTTAGATGTCTGTTTGAAAGTGTGGATGTAAGAGCTTAAAAATCTCACTCTGTATTGACCAGGCTTTGGGTGCAAAACCAACTGAGCCCTCAGAGCTGGGTAAGAGCTGCAGCCTGCTTCCTTACCCAGCTCTGAACCTGCCTCATAAACACAAAATGCAGGCACATTTGGAAGAAGGCAACTGGGAGCAACATTTCCTTCAATGACCTGCCAAAGAGGGGCTCTGGATTCTTGTTCATCCTTTGAGACAGATTTCATTCTTTGCCTTTGCAGACAGATAAATTTCCATGAAACCCGAGTTCCCCAAGTCCCTGCTGTCTGTTCTGGCACTTGCCTCCCAGTGCAGCTGAATGGGGCTAAAGCATCCACAAGAGGAGGCCAAGAGGATCAACTGTGTTGAGACCAAGAAGCCATAAATTAAAAGGCTGGCTCCAGCTCCTCTCCCCTAGGTCAAGGCTGGCTCAAGCAGAAGCACCCAGGAGTGCTTGTGGGAGATAAAACATTTTCCAGGGCCTTAACAAATGGCTTATGCGAAAGACAGGCATTTACAGGGGGGACGTTCCCTGGCAGGGGCCTCACTCTTTGCTGTCTACACAGACTGCTGATTTTGCTTCGCTGTCCACATACCTTTCAGCATTTTGACTGCTACGGTCTCACAGCTGTTACTTTTATTGATCCCAAACGCTGATGCTTCCACCACTTTCCCAAAGGCACCGTGACCCAAGACTTTACCTATGGGCAAGGAGAGAGGCAGTGTGAAGGAAAGCAGGTGCAGCACAGGCAGAATGGAATGAAAAAACAAAAATCCCAACAGGAAACCATGGGAAGAAGAAAGAAAAACATCATAAAGGAAAAGGAAGGAGTGGAACGTGTGCCCTTCCCAGGTGGCTGCTTGCTCTGTCGGTAAGAATAAGAGAAAGGATGACGAGAGGAACTGAGACAGAACTGGCACGAACAAAGCAGAGGAAGGAAATGGCCCTGCAGAAGTGAGGGGCTGGTTGTTGCCCTCGAGCGGAGCTTGTGGGAAAGGTAAATGTGACACCTTGCAGCAGAGCAGCCAGGGCTAATGTCACCGCTCTGTGCCTCAGAGGTAGTCTGCGGCCCTTTTAACTCTCCCAGACAGAGGCAAGAGACTGCAGGTGTTTGTCTCAGCATGAGGAAGATAATGGATGCAGTCTTGGTCCTGAATTCAGGGTACCTGCTGTGTACTGGGCTGTTCTCTTCCAGATTGCCACTTGGAGAATATGGGGATGTGTTTTAAAGCATGCCCAGAGGTCTTCTGGTCTCAGTGATGCCTGTGTGGGTACACTGGAAGAGTCTGGACTTACAGTTGGCTCAGACCTGTCCATAGTCAGACCCAAAGACATTTCCCAGGCACAGTTGGGCTTTAGGGACAGTCTGGGGAAGAAGATGGGAAGACTGAGGCAGAGAGAAGGCATTAAATACACAGAGGGGTGTAAGAAACCTGGAGGGTGAGTTTGAAGGGCTGGTGGGAAGCCCTGGCTGCAGCACGCAGTGGTAGGGAGGATGTTCAGCTCACCTAGGCGCAGGCGGTCTCGCGGGAACTCCCACTTGCTGGAATCATAGGGCAGATACTCGCACTGCTCCTCCAAGGGCACCTCACCGGGGTCCATGATGATGGAGAGGTAGCCCGTCTTGATGTCTGCATGGGCAGGCTGCAGGAATCGGCCAACACAAAGGGTGAGGAGATGCCCTCCCTGCACTGGGTGCTCACTACCAGAGGGGATTTAGTTCCTTTGCCTGCCTTGACCTGCTTCCCCTGGCAAAGGCCATTCCCTGTCACCTCCTTTATAACAGCCTTTATGCACCCTGTCCTTGGCAGTGAGCACGCTGCAAGCATCACTCAATAACCTCCTTTTAGCGGATGCTGTCATACAGCCCCATATCACAGCAATGGTGTTGCCCCAAGCCCTGCTACGCCACCTCCCCTGCCATGGGACAGAGATAGTCACGTACCCTTTTGATGTTACAGAAGATGAGGATAAGGAGGATCCAGAAGAAAACAGCGATAACCCCAGTCCCAATCAGGATGACAATCTCTACATTGGTCCTGTCATCAGAGCCTGTGGGATGGGAGGGAAATTGTAGCTTCAGAGATTCCCATTCCATGCCCCAGCTCAGCCATCCCTTGTGGCCTGCTTCAGGGTGTGGGGAGAGTGGGAAGGTGTGTTTGCCTGAGCTAAACATGCTCTGGACTACAGATCCTCCTGTGAGAGCACCAGCAAGGCCTTGGGGCTTTCATTGCCTCCCACTGCCTGCTGTCACAGTGAAGAGGCATGGGACCCTGGCCACACTCCTACTCCACCCCTTCATCCCCAGGGGTGTTGTGGCTGCTGGTACCTTCCACAGAGACGCTGGCCGAGGAGTTCACACAGCCCTTAGCATTGCAGACGCTGCACAGGTAGAGCCCAGCATCCTCCTCCCTCACTCTCTGAATGCTCAGCCTCTGGTTGAAGTCCGCCAGGTCAATCCCTGTAAGGCATGGAGGGTTGCAGTGGTCACTCACAGGGAGGGGGTTATTAGTAAAAATGGACTCATTCAGGCTCAAAATAAGGCTCCTATTTTTTTGCCGATTCATTTTAGATGGCAGAATGAAATTGCATCAGCTGGTAAAGGCTCTCTTCTGTGGCCTAATGGCCTCAGAAATACCCTGGAGGGGCCTTCCCCACGCAGTGTATTGAGGGGACAAAAGCCCTACAGACAATGCTGGATGGGGACGGTGCCCAGGCAGTCCAGCTGGTGTGTCAAGCTCTGCTTCAACTCCAGGACCTGATCCTTTCCCTCTGCAATGTGCCTGGATCCTTCCCATGTTCCTTCCATGGGATCTGGGTTGGTCCCTGCGTGAGCAGAGATGCCAAGTACTAGGCTGAGAGTAAGAAGATGAATGATTTCTCTCTTTCTGCTCTCCAGCTGAATGTGCACAGGCACAGACAGTGCTGAGCCAGGCCCTAGGGCATAGACTTGCCCAGTGAGACTGCATCAAGCTGGGACAGAACATGATTAAAGCCAGAGTTCAGCCAATTCAGAGAATGGGTGCCTTTGCCTGGGCACAGCAATTCCCAGAACCCAGCAGTGTTCAGCTCTCCAGCCGCTGGAGATGATGCCCTGCCTTTGATTCACCCCCAGCCCACTGTACCTGACACTTCTTCCACCAGTTTCTCATCTTTGTACCAGCTGATTTCAGGAACGTGGTTGCCGTCCACCTTACAGCGCATCTCTATGGAGTCGCTGATGTTCACCCAAATGTCTGTCAGGTTCTGCTTGAGGCGGGGGATCTCCAGGGCTGGAGGAGCAGCACAAAGAGGAGGAGGGGAAAACGGGAAACTGATTGATCAAAAGAATATCTGTGTTCCTGGGGGGCTTTGGGTCTCTGACCCCTGCTGAAGGGTGTCTTGAGAACCCAGGTGCCCTGCCTTTGCCACCTTGAGTTTAGCTTGCTTGCATGGCTTCCCCTGGGGACGGACTGGGAAGCTGATGGCAGCAAGAGCACCAGCTCTCCTCTGTCACTCCCGCCTGCCCTGTGGACCCTCACCCTGCACAGAGATGTATTTCTTGTGGCAGTGCTTCTCCCGCGTCTTCCTGTTCTGCACCTCACACACGTAGTCTCCCTCCTCGCCCAGGGAGATGTTAGGGATGGTGAGCAGCAAGGTCGCATCGTTGGAGTCAGGCTGGAAGCGCAGCTCTCCCTGCATCTTGGTGGCATAGTGGTGGACATTCTTGCAGTCCAGCACGAGGGGGTTGCCCTCCTCGTCGTGGAGCTTGGAGAGGTTCAGCCGATACCACTGCAGGTTCTCGTAGGTGTAGTTGTCTGCATTGCAGCTCAGCTGTAGGTCTTGCCCCTCTATGGGCTCTTCTGAGGGCTGGGACTCAATCTCGAATCCATCTGGAATGGCTTTCAGGAAGGAAATGAATATGTGAATGAGTTTTCATGGCTGAGCTGCCAGACACAATGAAGTTGTCTCCTTGGGCTAAGCTCTCTGAGACCCTCCTGTCCTCAGCCAGGGTAAAGGAAACCAATCTAGAGCAGAACTGTGACATGCAAACCGCTAGTAACCAACAGCTTAAGCCCAGCAAGTGCTAAGGGATATGCTGAAGTCCCAGGGTCGAACTAAGATGCGGTCACAAGTGAAACAAGTCTGGGAGGTCTGAATTAGGCTGTTACTGCTCTCAGCTCAGCTGCAGCATTCTGGATTGCACATGTGCCTGCTTTTACACGCGCAGGCAGTTACACAGCCAGGCTGGACAACTGCACAAGCAGAGCATTACTGGAGCAGTGACTGAAGATGTTCACCTGCCTCCACAAAAGCTGGTGGCTCTGACAGCACAGGTACTACCTATGAGGGCCATGAGCCCAGGCTTCTGGGGTCTGTCCAGAGATGCATGAAGAGAAGCCTCTGCTGTGCCCTTGCCAGGCTCCTTGTCCCCAGCAGACAGGGACAGACTCCCGCCAGCATGGGGTACCGCTGGCAGGAAGCTTATGCAGCCCCATATGAGCCACGACTCCAGCCCACACTGCTGGGCTCTGGTTTCTAGAAACTCAGCTTCCTCCCACCACCAAAATCCCGTGGAGACCCTGGCGAGGAGGGGGGAAGGTGGGACTGGCTCGGGCCAGCAGGACCCTGGGAGCCGGTAGGGCGGTGCCACTAGAGGATGCTCTTGGATAGGCACGTCCCCAGCCCAGGGAGCTGCCTGGGGCTGAGCCAGCAGGATGTCCCCAGCCCAGGACCTGTCAGGGCTGCTCCAGGACCTGGGCTTATCCCCAGGTCAGCGCAGAGAGAGTTTGGCAGGCAATCTGCTGCCAGGGCTCCAGGCTTTTGCCACTCAGCAGAGCTCTGGGGTAGCCATGCTTTCCTGCTGCCTTCCCGGTCATGGTTTAAGGTGCTAACTGTGAATGAGAGGACCTGGCAGATCTAGGGACCTGCCTGTTTCAAGCAAAGAGTTCGGCTGGTGCAGGTGGAGGGGACATCTGCAGTACTCACTGGTCACGTAGAAGTAGATCAGCCGCTCGTCTCGACCCACTTTATTAGAGGCAATACACTTGTACATGACGGAGACATTGGCCTCCTGGATGGCCAGTTTGCTCACTGTCTGATGGGGGAAGAGAGCATAAGAAGGAATTAGGAGGAGCAAGAGGGAAGAGAAGTAGTATCGGTGCTCTCTCTGGCAGACAGCAAAGCACACAGCAAGCCTGGCCCCAGGTGGCAGCTGTACCTGGGAAAGCGTTATGCAAAAATGCCCTTTATTCAGTAGCCCTTTGTGCATTTCAAGCCTCATCTGCTGGCTGTAGCAACAGCAACATGGTTTTAATCCTGATTTCTGCTCCTTATTACAAAGCCCAGCCAGCATAAATGCCTCTCCATGGGAGCAGACTTCTTGGTAAGTCCCTCAGGTCACCATGGGCACAGGTCTGTGCCCAGCAAGGGGGACATGGGCACGTTGCAGGGCTGAAGGGATGGCTAAGCTCCTGCCAAGCTTTAAAACAGTGGAGAGAAAGGGAAAGGACACCGAGACTTTGATTCCCTGAGTCCTCTGCAGTTAAGTGACTATTTAGTGTCCCACAGAGTTCAGCGGAGTTTACAGGTACTTACAGACCCGCAAGCACTCCTTTTATCCATAAGGGGAAATCAAACCTGTGAAAGCATCCCAGCTCTCACCACTTCAGAAAGAGCTGTTATCTTCTCCCTTTAAATTCCAAGTGTACATAGACACAGTCCTAAAAGCTTCCTCCTCCCTCCTTCCAGCAAGACATGACTAGGATTGAGCAAACAGCCAGGCTGATGTCCTGGGAGCAGAGACCCAGGAGATGCTGCCTCCAAACCAGCCAGGAAAGGCAGCTGGGGAGTAATGTTGCTCTCCTCCTCCCAGCTCACACTGCACACATGTGAGCTGCCAAATGTGTTACAAGCACTCCCCTTAGAGGAGATCTGTAGTTTGAAGCACAGGTTTCTCCTCCCTCCCAGTTTAAATGACAAGTTAATCACATGCAAAAATCCCTCTAATGAGACAATGTTTAAAGTGCGAAAAAAAGGTGTTCTTACAGGGAAACTACTTTGTCTTTACTATTCATCCCATAGACTTTGGGAAGCATTTCCCTTCTAAGTGGCCAGGTATTAGCTTGTGTTAATCAGAAAGAAGAGTCATTCATTCAGAGCATATTCAATACAGCTGAAGTGACCTTATTGCTGGCACTTTTGTGTACTGCCTTTCCTGTTTCTTGGGGATTTTCCTTCTAATCTGCACTGTTAACGTTTGAGTTGGGGTTTCTGGATTTGACATCATCCTGCTGTCTGCAGTGCATGGTTGTGCACTGCACACCCTGAGGCTCATTCTGGCCTTTCTGGACAGGAAAAAAAAAACCCCAAACACAGGAGGATGGTAAAAGAAGACAGGCAGAAAGGAAGAAGACAGGCAGAAAGGAGAAGGAGGGGGAGAGAAAGCAGATTTGAGGACATAGCATCCCACTGCAAGTGGAAGAACTCTCCTCTCCCAGAGCTCTTGCACATCCCTGGGCTGCACAGCCTAAGTTGAAGCTCCAGGACAGTTACAACCAAATAGTTGGAATGAGAAAGGCACAGCTGAGGAATAGGAGGAAGAGAATGAGGAAAAAAGGGAAAGATCAAAAGGGACCAAGACGAGAGACACATCTGGAAGGGGACACAAGGGCTTCTCACCCAGGAGCTCCCACCACCCCTGCTCGCCTCCCCAGGAGACACCAATCCCTGCTCCTCCCTTTGGCTGCTCTGGGAGGAGCATCATCTGCTCCTGCCACCCTTTTGGCAGAGTGACGAACTCATGGCCAGGCCAGGGGACGGGAAGTGCCTTTGGAGGTGTGTAGGAAAACAGGAAGTGACTTTCGGAAACGGGGGCCCATTTGTTTGTTCTGCATCCCTCTGCGAGTGGCTGGTGCCTGACACCAGTGGGAACAGGAACACCGTCATGGCGTAGATCTGACACTCACGGCTACCAGAGAGACAGAAAGAAACAGGCATGAAACAGTGTCTGGCTGTTTGCAGGTCACATACTGCAATAAGGGAGAGATGTTCTTCCAGAGAGGAAAAGCTGTGATGGAGAAGTGGGCTCTGTGGGGCACATCTGCTCTCACTCACAAACCTGCAGCGGATGGATGCCAGCATCTCCAAACCACTCTCACCCTGTGGGGATGGGGACAGTAGGATGAAATGCCCTGCTACACACATGCATGATCCTGCAGCCAGAGATTTCCTGGTCAGTCTGTGACTCCTGCTCTCCCTTCCCAGCTGCCCAGGCAGCTCTGTGGGGTTCGGCTCTCCCAGAACAGCTTATGCAAGAGTGCTCAGAGATGGCCTTGGGAGCCCCCATAGCACACATCCCCCAAACCCTCCCTACCTGGGTGCCCTGTATTCAACAGCAATCAGTGTAAACCCTCCTGTGCAGTCAGCCCCAGCAGGAGCCTCTCTGGATGCAGGGTAATTTCTCAAAGATGACAGCTCTCCCTCGCCCTGGGGCTGCCTGGTACTGCGGAGCCCCAGAGCTGGGAACAGCTGCTGATGGTTTACTTTAGAAGCAGAGGTGTGAAGCCCTCCCCAAATCTGGCTCTGCCAGCCTTGTTTCCAGGCCACTTTGGCTGGTTGATCGCAAAGGACCCCTCCGAGGGTGGTACTGCCTCACCTTATTCCGCCCCTCCACGAACTCCACCCAGGTGTCAATGCTCTCGATGGGGTTCACCGCATCCTGCTGCGACACATCTTTCCAGTCCTTGCACTCGGGCATCCGGTCCCGCTGATGGCGCCTTGCTGCCCTGTGTCTGCTATTGCTAATCCAGCAGCCGGGGAGGAGCAGGAGAAAGAGGAGATGGAGAGAGGGTCAGCTGGGAAAAAGGCAGCAAAAATAGCATTGTGTCTGAGAACTGATGCCCCTGTCCTCTGACTCTGCAAAATTTCCTGGGTCTCTTGGTTACACAGTTCCAATGTGTTTTATAAAGGTGCTCTGCAATCACTAGTGAGGCAAGCATTATCTATGGATGTGAAAATTGAGGCAGGGAATGGTTAATGGTGTTCCAGGCAGTGTCTTCACCCCTAGGCCTGTGGTTTCATCCTTCCCTGCTAGGGATGGAGAAGGGCAGGGGTGAAATCTGTTCATGTGTGCCTGGGGCAGTTCTTGATGCCACTTCGCTCAGCAACAAGGCCTTAAACCCTGGCTGGGACTGTGAGTCAGGAATGTCACAGACTGGCTGGATCCTGGCCTGGAGAGCAGAGGGCACAGCACCCAAGGGTGTTCCTGCTGCCCCTGATTCAACAAATACCAGGAGGGAAACATCCCAAGTTGCTGCTGGTGTTTCACAGCAGCATGGTGGTACCTCTTCAGGCTGAGACAGGCAAGCGGGGAGAAGTACCCAAATCTGTCAGGGACCCAGGATGCTGCAAGGTGCTTCTGAAATGCAGGTGGGGCAGGGAGATGGGAAGGTCTGCCCAAAATCCAGTGTGGGAGGTGTGGAGGGAGAGGGCTTACAGTGACAGGGAAGCAGGGGGGAGCTGAGTGCCCAAGAGCAATGACAAGGGTGCATGCTGGCAGTGCTGGGCAGAGTGCTCAGCAGGGCAAGCACATCAGTGAGCTGTGTAAACAACAGGAAGCTCAAAAGAAGCCTCCTGCATCCTCTGGAGCTATGCTAGGCAGAAATATGGTGGCCTTGGGAGACAGTGCTCATAAATCATGGGCCCCTCTGCTTCCTGACAGGGCCACAGTGCACTTGCATGCGATGGAGAGCTCTCTGGCGTCCCTGGCTCAGCAACAGCCTGCACAGGGCTACGGGACCTGGCTTCCTCCAGGCACCCTGATATCCTACGCCCTGACTGCTCTGGCTACAACTCCCCAGCATCCTTCTTCCTGTGAGGCTGCAGCTAAAAAGTGCCACGGCAGCCCTGCCTGGTGCTGCCCCAGCTTCCCAGGGCACAGGCAGTGGGCACGCACCCTTCCTGCCTAAATATTAGCTCTGCCTGCACAAACACCCTCCTGGCAAACCATCCCAGCAGCTGGCAGAGATCGGCACTTCCCCCGGATTCAGCAACTCTTCCCCACACGCAGCAGCTTTTCTCCCCTGCCTGTGAGCATTTTTGCTTCCATCATTACCCAGCGGAAGATGAAGGACCAAAAAACCACAAGGACCTGCTGTCTCAGGGTCTCACCAAGGGGCTGTGACAATTTCTCCTGCAATCTGCCTCGGTTTCCCCATTAGCACAGTGGTCAGTGGTTTTATTGCAGGTGCTGTGAGGTGTGGCTGGGCCATGGACGTCCCCTGCCAGATGCAGATGGCCAAGGATGCAGGGGAAGCTGTGGAAGCCCTTGGTGTCTGGAACCAGCCAGGCTGGGCAAAATTGCCACTGGGGCGCAAGTGTCTCCAGTGGGCTCCACTCTGCCCCCCCCCCAGAGTGGGTATATGGTGCTCCTAGATATCAGTTGGTGCAGTCCTCTTGCCATGTTGTGGCTGGGAGAGCAAAAGCAAGACAGGGTGTGGGGGACAACCATGGTCACAAGGAGCCTATAATGCCATGCTGGTGGCCTGGTAAAACACGGGTGTTGGAAGAAATGACACTTACAGGCTGCGCCGGGAGAACATCCGACAGGGCATCCATGGCCTCCACTGCCACTGGATCACCTCTGGTGCCGGGATGCCATAGACCGTGCAGGTGAGGGCCTGGGGGCTCCTCCGGGAGTAGATGCTCGGGGAAGAGGCTTCCTTCTCATGGATGCGTGGAGGAACTGCAAGGATCAGAGTGACAGTGTGAGCAGCTGCAGGCTCAGCTGCTGCATCCCCAGGCCAGACACAGTCCTCCCTAGGCCCACCTATAGAGAAACTGGGCGCTAAAGCACTGTGACTCTCAGGGCAGCTCCTGGGGAGTCAGGCCTGCAAGGCAGAGCAGGTTATATTTAGGCAGATTCAAATGATGTCATTTCTCCTTCCTCTGCAGTGACTGTCTGGATGCTGCACGGCTCAAAATGCTGTCTGGCAGCCCCCAGCACAGGGCTACAGAGCTTGCTGGAGACAAATCTCCAAGCAGCAGTGCCCTTCCAGCACTTTTTGTGCTGGCATCTGGTTCCTGCATGACAGGGACCGGTTTCTGCCGGGGGGAAAACACCCTATGAGCTTTCCACTCAGCGGAATTGCTCCAGCTCCTGGCTTTATGTGTTGCAGCTGCCCTGCCCTCAAGTCCACATCACGCAGGGTGACCCTCAGCAGTTGGGAAGCAGCCCCTGAGCAAGGACATATCCTACCCAGAGGGAGGGAGCCAGGAACAAAACCGTGCTGTATTGCCCAGGCCACAAGGAACCAGCCTCACTGTAACCAGAGAATCCCTCAACAATGGGGGAGAAGGAGATGATGTAGGTACCAACTGCTTTAGGACAACAATGGGGACTTGGTCTCGAAGCAGCCCAAAGGCTGGGGCCATGGGCTTAGCTCTCTCCCCCTGGCCCCAGCCCTAGCCCCCTCCCTTACCGTTGACAATTAACTGGAGGCTGATGCGCTTCTCCAGCCCTGCCAGCCTGTTCCGCAGAACCAGCGTGTACGTCCCAGCATGCTGCTCCGACACATCCTTGATCTGCATTGAAGATTGAGATTGCTTGGGAATTAGCTTCCCGTCCTTGTACCTGCGGGGAGGCAGAGAGAAAATGCAGCCATGGGGAGGAAGTGTCCCACTGGCAGCTGGGCGGGGGATGGCTGGTCCCCACTAAAGGGCAGTCAGGGTGCCCCTTGCTAGCACTGGGGACCTCTCTGGAGACACCCCTGGGCTTTCCCTGGGCCCGAGTTACGGGTCTGTGCATTGTCTCCTGTGGATGTGTGTGGGGTCGGGGATGTTGTAGCTCTGCCCTGAGCAGTGTGCAGGTGCAAAGCTCCCAGCTCCCAGCCAGCTCTGGCAGAAGTGCAGCACGATGTGGTGCACAACCTGGCCCACTCTCTTGCTCCTCTGGGAGCTGCAGGGGGACGAGAGGGGCAGCTCCTGTGGGAGCTCCACTTGGCCCCTCCAGACAGTGCAGAGCTGCCAAGCCAGGGCAGGACTTTTGCTGCTTCTCCCCGAGATGTCATCTCCTCCTGTCCCAAGCTGTGCAGCTGAGAGCCAGGGCAGGTGGGAGAAATGACCCCCATGGGTGGAAAAAAGTGACATTTGGGACAATCTTGTCCACAGAGGGACCTAGCAAAGAGGCCAGGCTAGACTTCCCTACTTGTCAAAGGGAAGAAGGAGAGGAGAAGGTGGCTCAGGCTAAGAAAGGTGCGTTACCACTGGAAGTCTGGTGGGGGGTAAGCCACAACTTTCACTGGCAGCTTCACAGCTTCATCTCCTGCGGTGGCTTCTATCACTGGGCCCTTCCTCCACTCCACGTTGATGAAGGGCTTTTCTGCAAGAAAAGAGGTAAGCATGGAGGAGAGGAGAGCACAAAGGGACGGGCTGTCACCAAGCTCTGCAGCTCTCCACAGGGCCCGACAGCATGGGCCAAGGACAGGTGAGGTGTTGCGGCAGTGCAGTTGAAAATTATTACTTCTCTGCAACAATGAAGTCAAAATAACCAAAATCCACTATTATCTCATCTGCCTATATGACCCCCAACCCCTCTTCCACATCCCTGTTCCCAGCAGAGCCCCCTCCCTGGAGCAGAGGGGAGCAGGTGCCCTGGCAGCCATCACAGCTGAAGAGCTGTCTCTGCCTCACTGTTTGGAGCCATTGGGGACGTAGGGAGGCTGTGCTGCTCCGTGACTTTCTGCTGCCAGGAGACAGCTGCCCAGCGCCAATGGTGCCTTGTGCACCCGTAGCCGAGTGCCTCCCAGGCCAGCCATGCCACAGGGGCACTGCATCTGCCGCAGGACTGTGAGACCTGTGTGTCCTGCCATCCCACTGGCATTTGGGCCAATTTGGTGTTTGCATCCCTCTCTCTCACCATATTGGCACCTTGCTGAATGTGATTGTGCTTCCAATGTGGTGCTGGGGCACAGAAGGGTTAAGGGACTGGAGGAAGGCTGGGTCTCACTAAACCAGAGTGGGATGGAGGTACAGGAGCCCCTCTACTGAGCCTTGGGCCAAGCACCGCCTAAGCAGTCTGGGGATTGCTCTGCTTGCAGCTCAGCTCTGGCTGTGGCTCTGTGAGCAACTGGAAGGCTCCGTACCGTGCACGATGACATCGGTGCTCTCCTCCAGCATCTGGGCGCCGTTGGTGGCGGTGCACGTGTACTTGCCCAGGTCCTGCTGGCTGACGTTGTGGAGGGTGAGGATACTGGAGAGCTCTGTGTGTGTCTGCAGGGATCGGCGCTCAGACTCCATCACTGCCTGCTGCATCTGCAGGAGATGACAGAGAGAAGGGGATGAAAGACATCAACGGGATGGGGTTGTGCAGATGGGCTCCTCACGTCTGCGCTTTCTGCTGCCCAGTGCTTGCCCCTCCCTGGACAGGCATCTCCACCACTGCCTGCCATCCTCAGGGACAGAAAGGCAACAAGTCCTGCGTGACTGACCGTCTGAGGCTGGGGTCAGAGTTTAGCACATGTTTTGCTCTGATCTGCAGTCCGGTAACCAGGCTGGGAGCCCTAGAGGTACATGAACAGAGTGATGCCCTCAGGGGACTCCCCTGTCCCACTGTTCACAAGAGCCAGAGGTTACAACAGGGGGAAAACACAGCAGGGAAGGGACCCCCTTGCAGGCTGTTGGTAACCAGGGCTGTGTGGCTAGAATAGCTCCTTTTAAGCCAATGATGTTTGCTCTGGATTTGCAGTGGTGGAAGTGAAGCCAGTGTTTGCCCAGGAGAGCCTCAGAGCAATAACACCTCGGCAAGGAGGGTGCTTTCTGCCAGAAAAAGGGGTCTTCCCTCTGTTTGCCTTCTGCTGCAGGAGAGAAAAATGGGAAAGCACTCTGACCAGGATGTCCAGGGCACAGTGTGGTTAGGATCATTAAGCAGAGCCCTGCCAATGGTGTGAAGAGGAACAATAAAAGGGCAGGAGGGGACAACTTGGAGGGAAGTAGTTCAATGCACGGGGAGCCGCTCTGTTTGCTGGTACCTGTTTGCCAGGGTAAGTCCACTGGAAGCGGACGCCAGAGTTGAACTCGGCCCACACTGTGCAGTTCAAGACCAGCTTCTCTCCCACTAACAGCTCCATGGCTTTCTTGGGATACAGCTGGATGTCATACAGCTCGCTCCCTGATGTGGAAGAGGCAACAAAAAGACATTTCTGATCTATTAACTTTCTTACTTAGACTATGCAGTTACAAGAGGCTTGAGTATGACCTCCTGCTGCTTGGTGTATCTCTGTCTGGCACACAGCAGAGGAGATACAAGCACCATGCAGAGTCTGTGTAGCTGGAGAGGACAATAACCATCACATGAGCCACGCCGGTAGACTTCAGAGTCATCCAAACTGCCCCCCTGCACCTTCCCAAATATTCACCTGCTATATGGATGATGAAGAAATTGGATTTGAAGACCTTTTTGTTGATGACAGTCTCACACTGGACAAACAAGGACTCCCTGATCAAGTGTGTGGGTACCTGCACTCCCTTCTTGTTGTCCCAGAAAGTGCTTTTCCCGTCAGGGTGGATGAGGGAATTTTGCTGGAAAAATCAACATTTTGCCAATTGAAATAAGAGAGTAACAACATTCCCACCCCACACCTTCCAGGCTTTATGCTCACTAACACATCCCTTTTGTGGGAATAAACGATGCAGCGTCACGCTACGCTGGCCTCCTGCCCTCGCCCCCCAAGGGTTTGTCATCTAGGAATTGCAGCCTCCCTTATAACCCCAGCAGCCGTATCCTACACCACGAGCCTCTCCGTGTGCAGAGTGGGCCAGAGACTTCCAGGAATGGAAACTTCTAGTGATAGCTAAGGAAATTGATGCCGATGTCCCAAACATCAGCCCCACTGGGATGAGTGCTGACCTTGAGTAGTGTCCTTCCCGGGCAAGGGAAAGGACCCTGGCCCCCAGAGTGTCCCTGGAGGCCTTTGTACAATAGCAACACTCATCCTGGAAGGATGTATTTGCATTGTAAAAAAAAAAAAAAAAAAAAAAAAAAAGGGACAAGCAAACTGAAAAA